TGGCTGCAGGCTGGGGAGGTGCCGAGGTACGGGCTGTGCTGTTCACTGAAAGGCGCATTGGCTGTCAAACGTTATTTGCTTTCTCTTTTGCGACGCAAATCTTAAATACCAAAAGGCGGCGTTTGGGCTGCGTTTTGAAATGTCAGTATATCATTTCCATGTTCACATATTTGCTTTTGCAGTATGGATTTATAAATACATGCCTGAAGTCTTTGGTGGTTGAGAAGTATGGTGAAGAAACGTGGGAAAAATTAAGGTAATGTGTTCCCAATAAATGTAGTGTATGGGAGGAAAACGCGCAGGAGTTAAGCAGCTGAGGATTACAGATTCTCGCTGGTAAATGGCAGCTGATGTGTATCGCAAGTAATTATTAGAAGCAACTGGTAGGACAAAAGCAGGAGTTTCTTACTTTGTAACACTTCATACTCTGATACTAATTTGTCCCAATTAATTTGTTATATCAGATAATTAAGGATGACATTTAGGCTTATAGACAACTGTGCAGTAGGCTCACTGGCTCACTGTGACACTATCAAAAAGTAATTGCACTGAAAAGATGTCGTCCTTGGTATGAAATCGGTTTCATTCCAGTACCTTCAGAAAAGCAGTAAATATATAGTCTTTGTTTTTTCTTTACTTGATGAGCTTTGTGGCATTTTTCAAGAGATAAAGATATAAAAATGGTACTTATATACATACACATGGGAGCCTTTGGAGCCAAAATATAAAAGTGTAAAAAATCAGCAAGTTTTTGGTCAAGTCTGTGGCGACCCAAGATCTTGGTATTGTGGCCACACTGAACAGCAGGCCAGTAGACCAGGAGACAAGCTAAGGCTCCACTGACTGCAGCCCCCCCCCAGAATGATGCCCTCATCCTCGAAAGAGTTCACCATGATACCATAAAGTGAAATAGTGGAAATGGGGAGGTGGACACCTCCATTCAGCTGTGCTAAAGCAACACTTAAACCATCAGGCGAAGCAGTGTGTTCCAATATCACGCGTGAAGGAGGCTAAGGAGTGGGCTGACAGCAAACTGTGCTTAATGAATGCCAATTGGGTCACCAGAACACGTTACATTTACAGCACTGCTGAGACAAGAATATTGTCTTCTCCGTTACAGACTCCAGGCTGGAGTCCAGGATTCTTTCTTGACTTTTGAGGTGTACAAAGATGAGATCACGATGCAGCTTGTTGACAAAGCCTGCAAAATATTAGGTATGTGTCACCATGCCTCAAAAATGAACCATCCTGGGTCAAGCCTGAGACTGCAGCCCAGGTTTTGGGCTCCTGTGCTCTTTGGAATGTCCTCCCTATGTTGCACATTTTCTGCATTCACTCTTAATCCTCCTGACAGCATTGCAAAAACTTCCAAGCCTTTTGTATTTATTAAGGTGTCTTTGTTTTGCTAGGTGTTCCTGCTGACATGGTTCTGAGAGATTTTGGAAAGTATTTCTTTGAATTCTGTAAACGCTCAGGCTATGACCACATGCTGAGGACACTGGGTGGAAATCTCTACGAGTTCATAGAGAACCTAGATGCATTGCACAGCTACCTGTCCCTTTCTTACCAGGCAAGTTCTAGTAGTAATTACCAAGCAGGTATGCGTGGACTCTGCCAGAGTTCGCAACACAAGGAACAGCATCTCATAGGTGTTAACAAATCATGGAACAAGATGCTATAGCAGGCTCTCCTATGTTCTGAAAGGATTACTCCAAAATGTTAGGATAGTATTTTAAAATATTTTTTTTTCTGAGTAGGCCTCCACTTTATAAGTTATTTAGTACATTGGTTGCAATGCATACTAGATTTTCCTTCACAGGTGAACATACTTCATTTTTTATATTTCAGTTTATTCGTATTACTGCTTATTTTATTAAGACATGGGATACTTTTGTACAAGTGGAATTCACCAGTATTCTTAATTTCTTTGTCAGAAAAAGATATTAAAGTTTTGTTTTTCTTTGTTTTTTCTCAGGAGATGAATGCACCATCCTTTAGAGTAGAAAAGAATGAAGATGGGTCAATGCATTTACACTACTATTCAGATAGAAGAGGTCTGTGCCACATTGTGCCAGGTAATCAGATAGAATGCAGAGTACAGGTCAGCTGGTAATGCAGTATATATACAGAATAATCATGTATTTGCAGATATACTTTGCTCTGGTTTCAGAATCTTTTTTTCAGATGAGGACTGGCCATGGAATTGAAGCCTGGTAGAGTTTAGTCACCAGACATCTCACCCTGGTATATCCCTACTGCCCAGTCACTCCTAGCTCCCAGTAGCTTCATCAAGATTTACGATATGACAACCCAGGCTACAAGTCTCCCTTCCTGCTGTAGATTTCCGATAGAATTCCCTTTCTGGAAGAAAAATGAAAGTTCATGATGCTTATTGTGTCTAACTGTTGATTAGTTCTCAGTGACTCATGCTCCTTAAATTACAGTGAAGTCAAAATTATAGTTGAAGACGTCCATCCATCCTGTAATAAATACTCCTGCAGTACCTGCAATCTGTAAAGCTACTGTTGAGCCCTGCGCAGTTGTACTCGTGCAAGGGTTAAACAGCTTTAAGTCCGCAAGAGATGGTCATGTTCCTTTCCTTCATAGATGCTGCTGAATTTAGAAGTTTATCAAAACTTTCCCTTTGTCAATATGCATTTCATGTTCCTATTGAAGCACAGAACTATTTGGAATTGCAGACAGAGCTTTCATGTCATTGTCCAGTATTTTGCCTAATAGTTAAGCAGAAATGAGAGGAGTGATTGTGCATCTTCAGGAAAGATATTTCCTTCCTTTCAAAAGAAAATACTCTGCAACAACTGAAATAGATTGTTATACCAGAATCTCTTTAGACCCCCTGCACTTTTTGGGTTAATGGGAATTCATATTATTGCTATGTATGACTATTTGGACACATTCTTCAGGTATCCTGCTGGGCTGCTTCTAGGGAAAATAAGCATTTGTCATCAGGCAAGACAAAGGAAATGGTAACTTTAAAGATTATCTCCTATGCACATATTCTTACCACAGCAATGGTAGTAGGAATGACATAGGTAACAACGGGTTGCTTTCTTCTTCCAGAGTCCTTCAGAAAAGTGATTTCTGAAACAGTGAAATTCCACTGTGGGCCCTCTAAAAGGGAAAATAGACGGGGTTTGTTCTTTGCAATACTTTGGTTTTTTTGTTTCCCCTTCAGGAATCATTGGTGCAGCAGCCCTGGATTTTTTTAACATTGAGATTTCAATGGAAATAGTCAATCAAACCGAGGAAGAAGAAAGAACTGGGAAAAAAGAACATATTGTTTTTCTTGTCACTCAAAACCCTGTATTCTCGTACAAGGAAAGAAATATATTTTCTTCCTCATCTCAATATCTTACTGATTCTGAAAAAAAAATTGAGAACCAACTGAATAAAGAGGTATTTTAATATCCATTATCACTATACTATTAAAATATGATTAAAATAAAAACACTTTTGAATTTCTCTTTGGATTTATTTTGACAGGGCCTTGAAAAAGCCAAGAATACAGTTAGAGACAGAGGAAACTCTGTTTGTCCTGTCAAGAAAAGTCACTGGAAAACAGTAAGAGGAATAATCACACTAGGAAAAGGTGAGAGCTTCTTCAGAGGCACCTTGTCATCATTTCTGAGTCTCTTCAGCAAGAAAGTCAGCAAGCCTCCCTATCTCCACCCACCCATCCATTTTGAAGTTAGCATTCATATTTCCTCTGCATCTTTTCAAAATGTTTCTGGTTAAGTTTCTTTCAGTTAGACACCGATAATCAAAGAAAAATTGCAGATAATAAGCATGCTTAGTAATGACAGATACTTAAATGGAATATGACCTGTCACTTTCATCTCTTAAACAGGGTTTTTTTCTGAAAAGTATTTTTCTATAAAATGTCATTGTGTGGTAAATTTGATACTTCCTTCTCATGTCACTCAGTCTAAGATGATGAATTTAAGAGAGTGTTTTTTATCTTGGTAGCTGCTACTCCTTTACAAAGTTATCAAATGTAGTAAATTCTGAAAGCCAGATTTCACCCTCCACTGCCAAAAATCTACTGCTAATCTAGTAATCTCTGTTTATACCTTTATATAGTATATGCTTATATATGTTTGGAAAATGGAAGGATTTTTTTCAATTAGGATCTTTTGATTCCCCGAGAGGAATGAGAATCCAAGCTGTCTGGATTCTGTGAGGAGTGAAAAATTGAACCTGATATAATCTGGTGCAATGCCACATGCATTACAAGAGCAGATATATTGAGTAAGGATTAATATATATTAAAAATAAAAATTCAGAATAGCATTATTACGTAAAAAAAATAAAATCCTTTAAGAATACATGCAAGAGTTCTCAAGAGCCAGCCTTTGAAAAATGAAGAACCCACATTGACTTCCCTTGAAGCAGTAAGAGGTCTAGAAATTGGGCCCTAAATTTGTAATCTTTTTCACTGGTCTCCTAAGTGACTTGAGCATTTGTTATCAAGCAGAGTTTACTGGAGTAACTGTCATAGCCACCTTCTAGGGGAAAAAGATCACTTGAAATAATCATCCCTTGGATTGTTGTGGGTTACTGGAGATTCCAACTTTATACTGTGAAGATGAAAGGCTTTGGGTGCTTCAGTCAGATGAGCTCTTTTGACTATTTTACCCATTTTATTCATTTTACCAAAATATCTGTTCGCTAGCAAGCACAACCTGCTCTGTAGATTTGTGACCATTCTGAAAAAAAACCCGCAGGGTAAGTAAAATGGAAACCGAACAGTAATTTGGTCTTTGTGCTACAGACTAGAGTTCTTTGTACAGGAAACTGAAACCCAGATCATGCTGCGTTTTTTTCTCCATACGTGTTCCTTAGTAGCTAGCAAATTTTATTAAATCCACTTCTGTGTACATTTTTGTGGGATATGGCTGTGTTATATTGCTATGACATCTGCAAATTCATAGAGCAACATCTACATTTGTTCATCTATTATTACTGTTTCCACATAATTTCATGCATCTAATGCTCTGTGCTTTTTGTGTGGTGAAGTTTTAAACTCGCAGCCAACTCGGATTAGTTGCTAATCAGTTGTGCATTAAACTGCAGAGCATTTAGCACAGATGCATGCACATTTCTGGACCCACACCCTGTTTACTTTGTCTTCACTCATTATGATATAGGATCGTGTCTCACTGAGTGTTAATGCTGACTGGTTTTATGAGGAGCAACACAACTAAAAACTGCACATTTATCTTGCCACAGGTAAGCTTCTGAGAGGATTTGATCCTGTTTATCCCAAGAGCCTCTGGATTGACACAAAAACATTTTGCAATGGACTTCCTTTTCATATGGTTTTTGACAAAGAGGTAGGACAAGCATGTGGTAAGGGCCTTTACTTTGCATAAGCTATACAGTACTTGTCTTCTGTTTTGGCTGTCCTACAGCTCACTGCTACATGTGCTCGGTATACAGGGCACGCTCATTTGTAGGACTTGCAGAAGTGCTCTGTACAGAGACATGCAATAAAAGTCACTCATACAGCTGGATCCGGATCATTTCAGAAAGGAATCTCCTTTGAATTTATGGAGATTACCATGTGTGAAACAGCTGCAGATGTGCCAACAAGTTTTACTGCAGCAGTCTATCCGTTACCAAACACTGAACAGAGTTTTCTGAGGTTTCTGGCCACCTTCCTGCCCTTGGATGTGCCAGAGACACAACCCATCCTTTAAAGTTGCTTTGTACTAATAGCTAGTCACCCTCTCCTCCCAGTTAGCAGTCTATCCAAAGGATTTTGTAGGGCTTTGCTGGCAATTGAGGCTCTGCTTTCTTCCTGAGTCTACCCCTGCATGGTTCTGCTGGGAAAACCCAGCTACCTACTAAATCAGGCAGCATGCCAATTAGTTCCATGTAACAGAAACTGGACCAAAAATTCTCTTTATCTTCCAGAGGAGGACTGAGTCTCCTCTCCTGTGCACACATGCTCTGCAGCAATGGAATTGCCCTTCTCTTGGCAGGGACTGCCCTGTGTCTGATTTCCAACTAGCCTGGGTTCCTACCAGGCTACATTTTCTCTTGCTCCCAATTCTGTGCAGAGAATATGAGCTTAAGACAGGAGGAAAGAAAGGAGAAACTGAGAACAGAAGCAGAAGAAAGCTGAATACAGCCACTCAGGGAACCTATTTTGGCATCATGCTGGTAGAGATTCCAGAGCACATAGTCTGCTTTGTGCCACTGTCCACATTAGCCAAAGCTCAGAGGTTTAAACCTTTCAAGACATCCAGTCTGCATAGTTTGATAGACTTACTAGTGTGGAAAAAAAGGCAAGTCCTGCACCCATTATTGGTAGCTAGGTCAGAGCTTCAATATCTCTGATGACAAGCAGTGAAGGCAGAGTGGACATTTCTGCAAGAGTTAAGAGCTCATGTATGGTCAGCAGGCTAAAAGAGAATGACTAAACCTTCACACAGCAATAGTTAAGAGAAGGTAACCCATGGCATCCATTAGAAAATTAATATTTGCCAAGACGTTTTATGCCACAGTTATTTTCTTTTTGGAATGCAGGATACATGCTGGGATCTCTAATTTCCTCTTGCAGCTACCTGCAAGGCTATTCTTTAGGCCTACACAAATGAAAACAATGATGATAGCAGATAGTTTTGGTTTGTTTTTAACAATTGATACGGAAGATCATTCGGATAACAGCATTCCTTTGGGGGGGCTTCGTCTTGCTGTGAAGGACACTCATTCAGACCTTTGCGGTAATACACTAATAACAGAAAATTTGCTCAGAAATAATCCATGTAGTACAGCAAGGCTAAGTGTGTGTACATGTATAAACAGTGATCAGCTGTAGCTTGGCCTGAACCCCAACAGGATACGAATTATAACACATTGTCCGTATTTTCTTTTTAAGCTCAAAGTGAAGCAAGCTGGGGTGAGCATTCAAAAGATTGTACCTGGCCTACAGACCGTGGGCGTCTGCTTGGATCACTATTTCAGTATCGTTCACCCAGAAGTACCCTTCACCATCTCTAGCATTCAGAAATTCATCAACAGCCAATTTGTTTTCCAAACTAGAAGAGAGATGATGCCACAGTCATGGAAACAACGGCCAATGCTAGAGCTGAGAGGTACTTCACTGTTTTCAATAGCATAAGTGTTCATATTAAATCAGGAATTACGCTGGAGTTGAACTAATGCCTTTCTGTGGGCTCCTGTCTTCACACAAATCCTATAAATGGACTTGTCTTTGTGCAGTGAGAAGAGGATTAGATGGTTCTGTTTAGAGAAGCGTTACTTTAAGATGCTTGTAGACAAATTCTGCTATTACCTCACCAGATTTTAAAGGCTTTCAGTCAGAAATAACAACTGTGCTCCCATTGGAAAGGCTTAGAACGACAGTGTTTTTCTAACGCTGCAAACCCCACATCTTTGCAGGTTTACTGAGTAACAGGGGCAAGGCCAAAGGAGGATTAGATTGTTTTCTGAACCACCTCTAGTCTCAGTTATTCACAGAGTCGTAGAGTTGACTCAACTCCAGTTGAGTTTGGAAGGGACTTCTGGAGATTGTCTAGTCCATCCCTGCTCAAAGCTGGGTCAACTAGAGCGGGTTACTCAGGACCATGAATAGTTGGGTTTTGAAGATGTTCAAGGATGGAAACTGCATGACCTCCCTGGGTGACCCATTCCAGTGTTTAACCACTCTTACAATGAAAAAGTTTTTTCTTATGTTTAAATGGAATTCCTTCACTTCAATTAGTGTCCATTGTCTCTTGTCCTTTCATTGGATACCGCTGAGCTAAGTATTTTTACTCCCCCCTGTGAGGTATTTGTACATACTGATAAGCTCCCTCTGAGGCTTGTCTTCTCTAGGCTGAACAATCCCGGCTCTCTTAGCTTCTCCCTATATGACAGATGCTCCAAGCCTTCCCACGTCCTCCATCCTTTACTTCGTGAAAATAGGAGTGACATTTACTTTCTTCCAGTCCTTAGGAATCTCCCCCAGTCACCATGACTTTCAAAACTAATTGCGAGTGGACTCACAATGATGCCGGCCAGCTCCTTCAGCACTCCTGGATGTATCACACCGGGTCTCCTGGATTTCTGAAGGTCCAATTTGTTTAAATGTTTACTAACCTGAACCTCCTGTGACAATGGAGTCATTGCTCCAGGCTTCCCCACTAGTCTCAGGGTCCTGAGAGTCCTGAAGGACAATTCTTATCAACAAAGACTGCAGCAAAGAAAGCACTGAGTACCTTGGACTTTTCCACGTCCTTTCTCAGCAGATCCCTTGCCCCATTCAGCAGCAGGCCCACATTTTCACTGGTCTTCCTTTTGCTGCTCATATACATGTAGAAGCCCTTCTTGTTCCTCAACAGATGCAAATCCAGGTGGATTCTGGCTTTTTCAGCCCTGTCTCTTCCTCTGGGGTGGTCTGACCCAGCTTTTGCCTGTTGTATTCTTTGTTTTTTACGTTTGAGTTTAGTCAGGAGCTCCTTGCTCATCCATACAGGTCCCTGCCATGTTTGCTTGACTTACTGTACATTGGGATAGACCACTCCTGAACTTGGAAGAGGAGATCCTTGGAAATCAACCAGCTCTTCTGGACCCTTCTTCTTTGCAAGACTGTATCCAATGGGATTCCTCCAGGCAGATCCCTGAATGGGACAAAGTCCAGTCTTCTGAAGTTCAGTGTTACGATCTTGCTTTTTTGCCTTGTTCACTGCTCTCAGGTTCCTGCACTCCACCATCGCACACTAATTGTGGCCAAGGCTGCGCCCAGCTTTCACATCAGTAGTTCTTCACTGTTTGTAAGTATGAAGTCTAAGCGGGACACCTCCACTCATCGATCACTTGTGTCAGGAAGCTCACCTGTGTCAGTGCCCCAGTGCACTCCAGAAACCTGAATTGCTTGTGGCCTGCTGTGTTGTCTGTCATGCAGATATCAAAGTAGCTAAAGTCCACCATGACGTTTCCTCCACCTGTCTTGAGAAGGTCTCATCTGCTTTTTCTTCCTGAGCAAGGCATCTGTAGCAGGCACCCGTCACAATGTCACCCATATTGGTCTGCCCTCTAATCCTTATGTAGAAGCTCTCAGCTGGCTGATCACCCAGCCCTAGTCAGAGCTCCATGCATTCCCTTGCTCTCTCACATAAAAGGCATCTTCCCCTCCTTGCCTGCCTGTCCTTGTGTTCAGCCTTTCCAGTGCTCCAGCTGTGTGAACTACCCCACCGCGCCTCTGTGATCCCAGTGACATGGTAGCCCTGAAACTGCACAGAAACCTCTGGTTCCTCCTGCTTTTTCCCCATGCTGTGCGGAAGAGGTGCCCAGTCATGCCCATTTCCCGGAAGAGGTACAAGAGTTTCCCGCATAGTGCTGCCCCGTGTGTTTTTCTTTCCAGAGGTTAGAACTAGATATATAACGTAAGGCATTACTCTGGGGGTGATCCCTGCAACTCGGTTGTATTGTCACTCTTGGTTTTGGTTGGGATTCAATGCCAGTTGCTCTGTGAATCTCCCCAGCCCTCAGTTACGCCCTTCTGCTTCACTGGGGACCTGTGGAAGGGACACGAGGCCAGCCCTCAGAGCCAGCTTCTGCTCGTAGAGCCACCGGGCTCAGCATGGCAATGCACTGAGCTGTGTAAAAGTACCTGTCCAGGCCTCACCTCCCCATAGCTCTACACATCAGCCTATGCATCCGACCCAGAATTGCTTCGCACTGCTAAGAATTTTCTTTGCCAAAGAAATTACTGCTTTGTACGTGGAACAACATTTTAAACCCAGCCACCCAGCACAGGCAATGCCAGTCCACAGATCTTGGACTGCATCTTTGGCACGTACAGACGAGAATGAAACATGGGGCGAGCATTGCGTTCCTGCAGTAACGCTCCGCAAGCATCATTCCTGCCAGCGCCCGGTTCCCGTCCGCCAGCTGAGGGGTGGGAAGGGGCAGGGGGACGAGGGAAGCGCGTAGAGACAAAGTCCTGATAACACTGCTACAGCTGGAGGAAAGAAATGGCTGCCCCGGCACCTCCATGCATTTTGAGTTCTAAAATGTGAATATGTGATTCATTTTTAATTTATGCCTTCGAGGGGAGTTATTTGCCACTGGCTGGGTTTCAAATGTGGATAAAAATAGATTAGTTAGCTGTGCTTTTATTTTTTGTAGTTGGATTTGCAGATTCGGATTTCTGTCTTCGCTTCCCCCTCACTCCCAATGTTACGTAAGAGTTTACCACATTAAATTATTTTAGCAAAAAAGATACATTGTTTGCTTTATTTTTACTGAGAGGAATGAGTATGGAATGATTCTCTGCTTCATGTAATTAACTATAATGGCATTTAGTTTAAACGTTCTGTGACCTCAGTTTTGCCTCTCTGAACTATATAATATGACTTAACTTTCCCTTCTCTCCTTTCACCTTTATATAATGAGTATCAAATCTGGTATTCCTGAGATTCAGAAAAAATTAAGACTTTAGGGAGGCCTTGAAAAAAATGATGTTACCAAAACAAGGAACTTTAACTAGTCACAGGTACAACGTTACTTCCTCTTATGCTGTCAGAGTTAATTCACGTGGTATCTCTGATGTTCCAATCCTGTTAGTTTTCAAGCTGTTTATCCAGTTGCCCTGGGTATGCGCTGAGGGAGAAAGAAAGAAATAGGCATTCCTAGATTGCTGTTCAGAAACCAAGGATACTTTTGAAGCAAATAAAGAATAATAGTAATAATAAAATATAAAAAAATCAAAACCATAACCAAATCTCAACAAAGAAAACAAAAACTCAGTCCTCTACCAAAAATCCCTTCTACCTTTCAGGTGTTTTTGTACCTGCTTATTTAGATGATCATAGTGACCAAAAGCTCCAGCCTCCAGGAAGGAAGGCTCCGTTGACTTTACTGGGGCCACTTATTACCCACTGTGAAATTAAACATTTCACTTAATCTCTGTGAGTCTCAGTTCCCCATGCATGATGCTGACTGACTGGCTTCAGGAACAGGTCAAGAACTAGTAGCAGACGAGAAGTGAGATATTGCGAGATATGGCGTTCCTCATGAAGAGGAGGGACCTGTAGCATGGTGGGGCTCTGCCTAGCAGTTTCAATGAATGAGTGACTGCTTTCTGGGTTCTGCCATTTTTTATTTGCCTAGCGTACGTCCTCCAAACAAGTCCACCTCTAATTCCAGAAAACAGAGTGGTTGCTGTGATGCCCCAGATCCTACAAAAGGCACTGTCCTTAGAACTCATCCCCTAAAATTAACCTCAGTAATACTGAGCATCACGTGAAAGTCCAAGCTGCTGAAAACTCTTACCGACGCTTGTTTCAAACAGGCCAGATGATCTGGATGGAGTCCTTGCAGTGCATGCTCTATCTCTGCTCACCTTTGCTTCGCACTTTGCACGAGCTGGAGGAACGACAGATGCATATTGCAGACATTGCACCTCATGACGTGACCAGGGATTTGATTCTTCTCAATCAGCAGCGACTAGCAGAGATGGAGCTCTCTAACCAGCTGGAGAGGAAGAAGGAAGAACTGCGGATACTGTCAAAGCACCTGGAGGAAGAGAAGAAAAAGACTGAAGCTCTGCTCTATGCCATGCTTCCTCAGCACGTGGCCAACCAGCTGAAAGAGGGGAAGCGAGTTGAGGCAGGTGAATGAACAGGATCCATTCGTGATACATGATTCATGCACCAGGGGAAGGTGGTAGAGGGACTGGGGTGCTGGCACAGCCCCATTGCCACTGTCGTGGAGTACACTCTCCACTTGGTGACATTCATGGGTGGGAGGAGGACCACAGAACCTTAATCTCACTGATAATAAAGATTATACTACTCTTTCAAACAAAGTTTTGGAAGCTGTTTGCCAAATTTGTTCTCTAGGAGGTGAAAGGTGGTAGCAGCTGCCCGTTCAGGGAACAAAATGTTTCAACAGTAAACTGAGATTTTGTTTTTTAACGTGGGTATACAGAGAAATGAGGGCTCAAAGATGAAAGGAATAGACATTGGTCTTTCCTAGAAAATTCTCTTAGTTCCTCTATGCTATGTATAAACCTAGAATCACCATGATTCTGATTGTGATTAAGGATAGCAAGTAAGAATATGCTTAAATTCCCTTTAGTAAGCACATACATGAAGTTAGCTGTAAAGAGCTAAGTATATCACAAATATGGATTGACAAAAGGATGTATTCAGATGTCTGGATTGAGATGTGCGATGATTCTTATCTTTGATATACTTTTATATCGACATCTCTCTCTCGTATCAGCACCCGTACAACTGATAGGTCATATGTCCTAAAAGCATGTCGAGAAATTAGTCTTTGCAAACAGGTCTCAAACAGATGTTGTGATTGTCTAGCCATTACAAGTACTTACTGCTGGTCTTTCTGCTCACAGGAGAGTTCAAGGAGTGCACTATATTGTTCAGTGATGTTGTGACCTTTACCAACATTTGTGCCCAATGTGAGCCTATTCAGATAGTTCTCATGTTAAATTCAATGTACCTGCGATTTGACAGACTGACCACAGTGCATGATGTGTACAAGGTATGTACTGATCGATAAAAGCTGTAGAAATAGTCTGGAAAATTATTTTGTTGTTGTTTTGGTTTCTTGTCTTTAAATGCACTTACATCCTCTTCAGTCCAGCATGATTTCTGATATACCATAAAATATTGCATGTTTGTAGTGGCCATACAGAGAAACTGAAAAACAGGCAGAGGTTTGTTCAAACGTGTTTAAAATTTTCGGGCAGGAATGTAACGTCTACAATGGGCTGGAGTCTCATTCCACAATGCTAATACCATAGTGGCTGTGCTGTCATACATGTTGCTCTCTCCTCTCTCAAATGTGTACCCAGCATGGCAGTATATCCTAGTGTATGGACCAATTTGAATAATTTTCCTAGCTCTTTTATTCCAACCTGTTGTGAATAGGTTGCTGTGTCATTAAGTGTCTCCTTTGGTGGGAAATTACATTATAAACAACACCCAGATAATACCTAGACATTCTTTTACTTCATGGAGATCTTGGGCAATGGTGTAGATCTCCTGCTGACCCCAAAGAACATTGATTAGATCTAGACTGTAATGTACATGGTGTCTCCAAAACTGTGCTGGAAGGATCAGAACCCTTGCTGACATAAAATAATAGCGTTATTAACATCTCCAGAGCTACCCAGGTTTGACAAGCTGAAGAGTAAGTCCAAAGTTTCTGTCTGTCCCCAGCACATGAAGTATTTAGGAAGGCAGAAATAGTAAAGGGTGAAATGCAAATCTCATTCATTCCTTGCTCAGGCAAGGCATGAAGTTCATCCCGCAATAAATTGTACTGGGAAATCAGAAGAATCTCTGCCTTTGCAAGGAAACTATAATTGAAGCATCCAGGATATGGCCCACAGATTTTAGGATAAATTAGCATCGTATTCTATCTAAATCATACGTCATGAGTAAATTATCTGTCACTATAATAATCTCCTTTTGATGCCTGCATAGAACTCCTATTAATATTGAAGGAGGTTACTAAGGTACAGAGAGGGAGGACAAGATTACTATTTCAGGGAATGGAGAAAGAAATGAAATATTGAAATTGATCAAAGGAACTTGGCCCAAGCTTATAAATGTCTGAAGCTGTGAATAAATCCTGTTAAATTAAATCTCCAACCACAGCCTAAAAATAATTAGGGAATCTATTTGCATTAGTGGCTTTTTACAGTTGTTTTTAATTTGTTACAGAAAATTACTGGCATTACTGTGGGTTGGCTATCTCAATAGAAGACATATACAGGAACAGATTTTTTGAGACTAGTGCGCTGAACTGGTTTAAGATATTGTGTTAATGACCAAACCCGAAGATTAAATTATGTTACCGCTCTCCTATTGGTGTTCATTTTTAAGAAATCCAGTTAATCTAATTTAAACTAATTTCCTATTTACTGATGGTAAATGTAGCAATGAAGTCTCATAAGAGCAGTTTAGAAAATTTCCTTGCCACATAACAGTCTTTTACAGTGATTTTTAAACATTTGAGAATTCTGTGTTTCAGACAGGCCTGTTGTATTCCCTGCAAAACCTCTGGTATGGGGACAAACTCCAACATATTTCTCAGGTGCCTTATCAGGCACTTCGAGGGAACTGGATGTCTGAAGGAGGACGAACCCTGCAGCGTCTGTCTCACAGGCTGCAGCATGCTGTGGGAAAACAGCTGGTTGTAAGGAAGGATGCTCCTGACCTGCTTAGGGCACCCTTTGTATTCTCTGACATCTTGGAGATTGTAGGTTTCTTAATTGTATGTGAACCCCGTAATAATAATCACCAGTGAATATACTACCTTGATTTGTTGTGACTTTCTGAAAAAGAAATCGCTTTTTAAGAAGAAACGTGCTTTTAAAACCAATTGTGAATTAGAGCTAATTAACAGCACTAAGCTATCAGATAACCTCCTGGCTCAGGAGCCTGTGCTCGGGGATAGGTCTTTGCATATAGGTCTGCCCTGGGTAGGAAGGCAGCAAGAAGTCTGACACTTTCACAGCATCTCTTACTCCTTAGGGTCTCTCACACTGATGTCTAAAATGGGTCAAGTAAGCAGGGACAGAATGCACAGAATCTTTTAGTGTGGAGTCAAGGACTGAATCCCTGTCTCAAGGAACCTCACGCATGCTAGAGCTTTTTAGCGATTGGAAACATCTTTTAGAAGGAAGGGGCAGTCAATGCAGGTAAGAAGAGCCCCAGACAGGAAAGCACTAACCTGAGCAAGATGTACATGGCATGCTCACATGCTTGTCCCTCTCAATTAAAGGTGGAGACAATTGGAGATGCCTATATGGTAGTAGGTGGTGTTCCTGTGCCTGTACCCACTCATGCTGAGCGAGTTGCTAACTTTGCCTTGGGGATGATAATAGCAGCTAAAGGAGTACAGAACCCAGTTTCTGGAAATCCGATCCAAGTAAGTTGTTAATGCAAAGATGCATGTGTGTCTGTCTGCTTCTTGGGTCGGCTTCTGGTAAATGTATTGCAGTAGAACATCAAAGAGCTTCTTTTGACTCTTCTGTGGCTTTGGCCCACATAGGTGCTTTTTTCACAAAGAGCCTCTCCATGTGGATATTTGGTATTTTACTGGTGTCCAGTGCTGTGTTAGGATGATCATTAAGAAAGATGTTAAATAACAAGTGGCATTTTTGGGGGGTGTTTTATGTCTTTGTAAAGATCAGAGTTGGGATCCATACAGGTCCTGTCTTGGCTGGAGTTGTTGGAGAAAAGATGCCTCGTTATTGCTTGTTTGGAGACACGGTGAATATAGCTTCCCGCATGGAGAGTCATGGTGTCCCAAGTAAAATTCATCTAAGCTCCAGTGCCTATCAGTGAGTAACTATGATGGAAACCTTGCCTGTTCAAAGCTGTACAAAAATCCACTGCCTTGGTAGCTGCACCTTTAGGATGTAGATGGTGCTGTCTTTAGTTACTGATTTATGCAGCTTACTTTTAAAGAAAAATCACTGCTTGCAAAGTGTTTTATTTGTTCTGATTATTTAAAGTGCCCTGGTATATGGAGACAGAGGTTTGAGAGTCTCGATCCTAGAGAGCAAAATATGGGAAAAAAATAATTGTGATGGCTTATTTGGAATTATTGATAGAGGGAGGTAGATGCTAGAAAGATGGTCAGAACATTTCATTTGACATCCTGCATAACAAAAGCTTTAAAATCTCTCTGAGGACAATAATTTTGGTAAAATTCTTATTTGCACTTACTGAGGATTAACTGCATAACCCACTATCCTATTGATACAGTGGGGAATTTACTTTCCTAAAACTCATGTCAATAATAATTAAATGCTACATTTTCAAGAATTTTATGTATGCATGTAATATATATGGAAGAGATGGAAGTGAAGACAAGCTACAAAGGAGTAGTACGAAAGCGTCTGGGCACACAGGAATGGTGTTAGGAAAGCCAGAGTTCAGCTAGTATTGGAATGGGCAAAGAAGGTTCAAAGGCAATAAGAGGAGCATCTGCTAAGTAAGCAGAGAAGTATAAATGGAAACGTGGACCTGCTGTGGCAGGTGATTTAGTGACAGTGCCCTAAATAAAGGCTGAGTTACTCAAGGCCTCTCTTGCCTCCGTCTTCACTGATGAGGTCTTCAAGGTCCCTACACTGAGAGTCAGGGTTCAAGGAGCAGGTGAAGCACCAGTATTGGAAGAGGATCAGGTCAGGGATCTTTTGAAAAAGCTCAGTCTACAGAAGTGTATGGGAGCAGACCGGATGCATCCAAGGGTAATGAGAGAGCTGGGTGATGGTGTTACAGTGCTGCTGACTGTCATCTTTGAAAGATCGTGAAGATCAGCACTGTAGCAACTGAAGAAAGCTGGATGTTACACGTATATTGATAAAGAGCAAGGAGGTCAGGCTGAGGAACTGTAGGCTGCTCAGCCTCATGTCAGTCCCAGTGAAAATCGAGTCCTCTCGGAAGCCGTTTTTGGACACATGCAGAAGGCTATTTGGAATAGCCAGTCTGGATTTACTGAGAGTAAATAATGCTTGATGAACCTGATTGCCTTCTCTGATGAAATAACTGGAGATCGTTCTGTCTAACTGATATTGGCTGCCTCAGTTCGTAATTTCTACTTACTGGTCAGTAAGAACCACAGAATCACAGAATCACAGAATGGTAGGGGTTGGAAGGGACCTCTGTGGGTCATCTAGTCCAACCCTCCTGCCAAAGCAGGGTCACCTACAGTGGGCTGCACAGGACCTTGACCAGGCGGGTCTTGAATATCTCCAGAGAAGGAGACTCCACAACCTCCCTGGGCAGCCTGTTCCAGGGCTCTGTCACCCTCAGGGGGAAGAAGTTCTTCCTCATGTTCAGACGGAACTTCCTGTGCCTCAGTTTGTGCCCATTGCCCCTTGTCCTGTCACTGGGCACCACTGAAAAGAGCTTGGCCCCATCCTCCTGACACCCACCCTTCAGATATTTATAAGCATTTATTAGGTCCCCTCGCAGCCTTCTCTTCTTCAGGCTAAACAAGCCCAGCTCCCTCAGCCTCTCCTCGTAGGGGAGATGTTCCAGTCCCCTCACCATCCTTGCAGCCCTCCGCTGGACTCTCTCCAGTAGAGACAACCCTCCATCATACTGAAGTATCTGACTATGTGATCCACTCATTTTTAATCAGGCTGTACATGTAAAGTATAAAAGCAAAGCAGGCTTGAATAAACGGCTGAATAAACAAACCCGCAGTTGTTTATGGATCAAGACTATGTTTCATAGGCTGTTGTGATTTGATTGCTTAGATTACAATAGCTCTTCTAAAACATCAGCGCAATTTTTGCTAATCTTGAATTTTCGTGTGTGGTTTTGCTTCTGATATTTTAGATGCCTAAAATACAAGAATTTTGAGATCACTGAAAGAGGAGAAATAGAAGTAAAAGGCAAAGGGAAAATGCACACATACTTCCTTGTTAGAAATAAAACTGCAACTGAGAATGAGATTATGGGAAGGCCAATGAAGGACTTGGATTCTGGCCATGAAACTGTTCAGTCATTTCTAGAAGGTAGGACTGAAACAATACCAAGTTGTCATCAGCCAGGTAGAGTGAACTTGACATATCTTTCCCTCCTTGAACAAATCAACGCTATGCAACTCAGTTAAATACCCTTGTCTGTTCTTCTTTCAGTTACTCAAACTCAGCCAGAGAAGGATCAGACCCCAGCCATTGCAATGAAGTATATTGATAACCTCACAGATGCTCAAAACAGCCTCAAAAGAAGAAATCAAGCTAAAATTGCAGATTTAACAGGTATTTACTTACCATCTAGCAAAGACAACAGAACTAGGAAGTAACTGAGGTTTCATCTTGCAGCTTTGTTATAGTCCTCTTCTGAATAACCACCATTTTACTCAAGCCAGAAATTCATGCGAATGTATCAGTGTTGGTTAAACTAACCATTCTGCACAGTGTTGAGGGCCAAATAAACTCCCCTTCAGAACAATACCAGGTGTTACTTGTGCACTAGCGTGAAAGAAGCTGGTGTAGCTGTCAAATCCGAGAGTCCTTCGAGCAAACAGAATGGATAAATGTTAGACAGCTCTTCATATGGGTAGACCCCATTGTTCACATACACATCTTTTCCTACAAGAGCTGCCATTATTATTCAGGGAAGCCCTTATCAACTGAAGCTGGAGAGACAGAGAGACCTCACTGGCTATGCAGCCTGGCAGTCCTCAAGCCAGTCTCCTGCAGCGGTTAGAAGGATCTATCGCCATGGCCATGTTCTATAATGAAAGTTCATTCTCCTTTGAATTAGCTGATACTGAAAAAGAGATAATGGATTTGATACCATAACAGTCTATTCTAATGCAGAAAGTCTTGTAATTCTATTTGCATATTTTGTGGATTTTATACAGACTAAATATGTTGCTCCTAATTACCAGAAAATATTTAACTCCCTTCCCTCCTACCTGCTCAGACACGGTAGTTAATCTAGTATATAGTGTGCTGACAAACAGAAACCTCTATGGTCATTAAAGACTCACGCTAAAGGAGTGTTTCCTTTCAGGCAAAACTTACGATTCCAGAAGTGATGGGAGTCTCCATGGCAACCAGCATGCAGATGATGCTCCTTGTCCTCTAAACCGGGGAAGAGTCAAACCTGCTACTGAAGAGCCACAGATTAGAAATGTTCGCTCTAATTTTTGCACTTTACTCTAAGTTTCTTACTTTTTTACATCAAACAGAGCAATTTTATTATGATTTAATACATTTTGCTGTTGTGGGACTGATTTTGTATATCAAGTAGCACATGATTTTGTTAAAAAAAAAGAAAAAAAGGAAAAAAGAAAAATGAAAATGACATTTCATCACAGTATTTAGCAAAAAGAAAGCAAGGATATTTTTTTTAAATTAATCTACACATATCATGTAATACTCTCACTGAAGAAGAAAACTACTACAAGATGCTTTGAAGATATATTTTCCAGTCTCTGCCATGTCTTTGAATATCCCTACGTAAAAATCACTTTTTGGTATCTCATGCAGCAATCAAGAAAGAGTGACTCATCCAGCTAGAAATATTCCTACTCAAATGAGCACTTGCCATAAAAGAAACATTCCCTGAAGTGACCATCTGTCTTGACTTCAGCACAGCCAGCAACTTCCCCATGTAAGGTTAGCAGAGTTTGATCTACATTTTAACTGTGACAACAGTTTGCTCTATAAGCAGGTCTTTTATTGGGTAAAGGCATTATGCGGTAGAAGTGCAGAATAGATCTAAGACGACCTGTATTTTTCCATCCTGAGGAGACAACATTGCATAATTTATAGCACACAACAGTAAAAAAAGCCATCTGTAACCTCTGAACCAGCTGTCCATGCTGTGCTTAGGAGATTGTAGGAGGACATGCACGTAGTAGAATTACGTAGCAATTCATCAAAACACTGAAGGCTTGTTCAAAGCCTATGAACTATCTGAGACCTTCAAACAAGTTGCACATTTATTTCTCATTTTTTCACCCCAGCTAAACAAAAATAAAGTTTCAGGACTACAGAGGGAGCCTGTCAGTGCTGAAATTAATGTTGTTAATATAATTGAAAATAACAGTGTTAAAGATCAACATCACTTACCTGATGTCAGAGGCTTCTCTGCTGAATTACTTCTGTGCTGATATATTCTTAGATTACACCTGATCAGAAATGGCAGAGAAAAATTGAAGTTCAGCTGTCAAGGATTTAAAATGTAGAAGCAAAAATACAGCGGATATAAAGGTTGTGGACAACCTGGCACATCATAAATTGTCCTCTCACTCCTGTAAATGGAGCTTGGAGTGGGTGGAATGTGCTCGTACTGGGTCACTTTGACAGGAGATGCGCCCACGCACTGAGTTATTACCTTTCAGCGTGCTTCGTTGTCTAAGGATGCAAGCACGAGACCCATTTGCACTTTGAGCAAAAACTCACTGGAGAAGATGATAGTGTTACTGCTTTGTTACAGTCTGGAGCATCACATTTCCACCTGTGTGTCTGCAGCAAGAGTGAGGCTCTTCAAACACCAGACAGAGAAGTAAGACTGATGAAAGATGTCTCCTCCTGTCTACAGTATAACAAGATGTAATTTCACCTGGTTAGATTTTCTTTTTGAATATCTAAGGCAGTAGCTCCCTGCTCTGGGTGCTGTATGGCTCCATCTACGTCAGCAGGTGGTGCAGAGCAGTAGAGCAGGATGTGCAGAGTGAAACATCAGTGCTGTTTGTCCACACTATGGGCATTTCAGAGAGCTGGCTAGTGTGGTCCCACTCACTGAATACCCGTTAGCTTTTGGAGCACCTTATAAGCACAGCCTCTGATTTAGCTGCATCCAGAAGAGATCCATTCGTGTCCTTTGAGATCACGCCACACTGTGAAACAAAGTACGGTAAGTGGGTTTGACCAGAAAATTCACCCAGGAGGGTGCCCCTGGCTCTGGCTGAAATGCTGATGTACGCACCTTTTAACATCAGCGCTTCCCACGATACAGCTGAGCAGCACCATTCTGGGACAGGGCAGTTTTATGAATGGTGGGATTCGTTTGTTTATTTATTTATTTATTTATAAGGATTTTGCTATCTAGGCACTGTTCATTATTTTAGCAAGGGTGAGATCTACTGTAGATTGAAGATGTGTCTAAGGATTATTATTATTAAGTTGGGTATCAAGATTTTAAACATTTGACTGTGACACACAATGTCTAAATTTCACCTTCATCCTTAGTAACTCCTCCCTCCTGGTCCAGTGCTCATGGTTTTGCACTTCTGTATTACGATCTTAGCTTTAAAAAGACTTTACTAAAGAAAGACAATACCCAATTTCTCTCTCGCTTACAATGACGTAAATGTGAAGTAACAGTTAAATCAGTGCTATCCCACTGATTTAAGTCGAGAAACAACTCTGACAAGACTTTAGTCTCCGAGAGACGCATTTCACTACTCATGACTA